CAGCCAGCAGCACATCACCAACCATGACATGACCTCCATGTTTCACAGATATACTGATGGGATTTCCATGTGTACTTACTGCTTTTCATACACACTTTGGGGTTTCCTTTACTTTTGTAAACTTTTTTTTAAATTTGTCTTTGAAGTTACTCTTACTAGCAAATTCCAGTCTGACATTTTCCTGGGAACTGCTGCCATTGGTGGGGGGTTAAAGGTGTTGGTGCTTTAAAAGTGTTTCCTTTTATACAATCTACATATAACCTCAAGCTGCTCGGGAACTTCCTATGATGCTTCGAGAACTTTGTCATCCCCATGTGTTGATATCCTGTTTATTTGTCTACCCTCTCCTCAACTCCCTCCCCACAAATGCTTACTGCTAAGGGATCATCTTACTGTTGGGGTTCTCTTTTCTAATATTCTGGGGTCTTAAAGATTTACAGCACTCAGAGAAAGCCGCTGTGAACTGGTGCTATAGCCATAAAACTGAATTGAAATTTCATCATTTGACATAAATCGGTTTATTTTCCTCTTTTATGACCATCTGATTGGAAAATTGTATTACATCTAAGTAAATTAAACCTCAATTAGAAAAACTTGATTTTATTAGAACCCTTTTGCTAAACCATCAAGTCAAACACGTCTTTTTTTCTTCAGAGAAATCCACACTGCTGTAGTCGATTATATCCTTTTGTCGTGTTGTTATAATAGGTTCGTTTTTGCTCACACATGAGCTGCTTTTCAGTCATAATCAGTTCTGTGGTCTTTGCATCGTGTTCGCCTTCTGGCACCAATTGTATTCTCAACAGATAATAGTGCACAATTCAGTTCACTTTATGTGCAGCAATTCATAACTGACTTCATGTCAGTGCACTTTAAATCATGAGGGCAGCCCCGGACAATAGTCAGCGGTTAAGTTATTTTCACACACATGGAGGTGGGCTCAATCAGCAGAACAAAGCCATTTCAAACATTAAAATGCATTCGAAGACCAATAAAGGAAAGTTGATTGCTGCTTTAATTTATTTGACACTTCTGATAAAATTCTGCGACTTACTTCAAGAATCTTTTGGCACCCACTCAGAGGTTTTAGGACTGCAGTTGTTGATAATAAGGGTTCCATCCTCACTACTTTCTTACATACATCTTGATCCACAGAAAAGCTCTCGTGCAGTCAACGTAAAAAGTTGCCACGACTCCACTTAGTCAGTGTTGGGAAGGTTACTTTTAAAATGTATTCCATTACAGA